AGTTTTAGAAAAAATACTGTTACAGACTATCTGCTTGAGCCACCACCGCCACCGCCTGTACCACGTGGCTTACCAGATGACTATTTACAACCGAAGACTAAAAATCCTTCAAATATATCAAACGCATACAGTAGTGCGCCGTCAAAATCAATGAATTATACCGAATTGGGCCCACCGATGGTTACCAATGCTTCTACTACTAGAGGTTTGTGTTCAGAAATATAATACATTTCCCTATAACTTAGCTTCTATTGTAGATATACATGAATAAACTTGACTGCTTTTTAATATCCAATGTCAAACATTGCACTAGATTATGGTTTTACCATTTTTCAAGTCCACATCATATTTCCTAATTGGCTAATTTCAATGAATGCTAAGATTAGCATACCACTGGTTACTACCTGTTGATTATCTCGTTTACTCAATTCAGCCATTTAGAACTCTATTAGTAGCCGGAATACCTTGAGGTCAAAGTCGTTAGCATTGTTTAATAACCTAGTTGTTTCGTTAACACAAGCTTGCTCTATGATTTAGTTACTCCTAACTGGAAAGAAAATCATTTAATAAACCATCTGTACAATTCCTTTTACTGCGTTTTCCTATTCAATATAGAACGACACTATTTAACATATACATGGTTAACTTGCAATTAATTCAGCCTGAAAGGAACTTGTAATCTTGTAGAGCCAAAGAAATGTCACTGAATCCTGACCAAATTATCCGGCAGTCTGGTCAATGAATGCCGAACAGGGTCAAAAACAACTGGAGCGTGTCAATTAATCACACACCATGGACTGGCCCATACAGTGGTGGTCACAATTTCTTCCTTGTACCTACTGTTACTGATATATTTCTATATTAACCTTTGTGTTGTACGGCCATCGAACTAGCCATGGTAACTGGATACGACGAAAGGGTAATCCACGTTAGGTTCTGAACACGAAGTGTGACTTCAAAGTTAGCTGGTTCGTTACACCATCCCCGTCTGACTCGAACAGGCCCCAAATCATTCAACACAGATCATCTTTGTTGGTGATCTACAATTTCATATATATTTAAAAAAAGTAAATCGGCTTGAACCCTTAAACTAAACAGCTGATTACCCTGGTTATATTTGAAAACCGAAACCTGATGTTTGCTACCATGAAACCGCTTCATCTCTGATATACGACGGAGAAATATTTTTTTAACTTAGAAACACTTTTACAGTTGTTGGGTAATTTGATAAATTATAAACTTAAGTATACTTCATATATTATCACGTTCAAATGTATAGGTTATCATTATACTTAGTCCTTATCACTGTACTAGTGATGGCACAACAGGTTTCTAACATAACCTAACAAATTACTTGTCATAAACATATATTGAATAGAATATTAGCGAGATCGAACATAAAACACTGGACTTCCCATCTAATGTCCTACGCACTTAAGACATACGATATGATCGCGAGTCTCAATTAGGTGATCGACTAGGGTTTAAACAACAGTAAAAATCACCATTTTATGTTCATTTATAGTTTCAATACTACATATATATCTCATTCTAAATCACGATATGAGAATTTTCCAAATTTGTAGTTTCATTTGCAATTAATTAGTGTAAAGTATCTGGAAATAACTGTACGACAATTGTAGACTTAATTTTTATGAACGTAAATGTTGACAGTATATCTACCAGTAAATACCCTTGTTTTTCAAATCCAGGTTTGAATGTCCGACAGTTGAATTGCTTGAGTCACTAATACTTCTGTGTATGACACAACTATGTAAATCAACGAGAAATTAAGTTCGCACAGTTGAACTAGTGATGTGTTGAGTTCTATGCTGCATTTGTTTACAAAGTAATTTTTGCTAAATTATTACACAATAAACCGAAAAGACCATTTCTGTCTGTCTCTGTAGACTTGATTTACTTTTCCTCATTTTTTAGATGAATACTTAAGTCCGAATATGCAGCCACCAGAAGAATACTTATCTCCAATATCCAGTGGATTTAGCGTAACCAATCCAGAGTATTTAATGGAAACATACGGTCATCCACATCAATACCCAGAGCCAAATACATTAAAACAAAGCACAAATCCTGCTAGCGATTCAAATTCCCCGCTGAAATTGCAGGATAAAACAAACCAAAAGTAAACTCTATCCTGTTGCTTGTTTTTATCGTATCTGTTGTTACTGTGGTTTTTCGAAGCAGTTACTTTTTGCCTAATTAAATACATTTTAAAAACAAATTTTGCTAATAATATCGAATTTACTGTTAACGCCTCTATTTGTCAACTTTCGTTTTTATTTACGTTTTACTGCCCGTTTTGTTTATATATGAAATTTCTTTGGTTTCTTTTACATATTAGTGAGTCATCTTCGCTGGAATTATAGATACAATCGTTCCACTTTTTCCCCACCAGAATAGTGGAAAACAACAGACTATTCATTTTAAAATGATATAGCAGTGACACTGAATGTCTGTTATTTCCTTCTATTTTCACTTTATTGTCATACCTATAAAAACCAAATAAAGAATTATCAATGTGTAAACACTCCGGAAGTCAATGCACAAACATGTTCACTATGGAATTCGTATGGTTCATTCGTCGTGATGATAGGTATTGACATTTTTCAACGATTAAAGATAAAGTCAAGGATGAATGAAAAACAATAATACTGTAAGAAAAAGAGATGCATCTCAACATTCATGTCCCCTCCTTCTCCTTCCGTATTTTTAATTCGTTTATTTATTATATACAAACAGATACATACTGCTTCTTACTAGCATTTATATCAAACTATTACTTCATACCATTGCTTCCTGTGTATTTCGGGTAATTCTCTTCTCAAAAAGCATTCAATTTATCTTGAATTATAATTGCTTGCTTATCTATGGACTCACTAAAATTGTTTGTTGGATTATCTTCTATGCATCATTCGTTGTTCCCAAGATAGGCAGAAACCAGAACAATGAGGATATATATCGATATACCGCTTATTCGTAATAAGCACTGTTTGCAAACACTGCCTTATAAACCAAACATGTTTTAGATGCATTTATTGTCAGATTCGACGACCTTTTAATGTAAATAGACATCATTCTTTTCGTTGTCATTTGCATGCTGGTTCTTTTTTAAACAAATAATATGAATACTATCTATTTTACATTCAATCCGCTATAAAAACAAATACTGAGGCGATTATGTTTTTGAAAACTACTACCTACTAAAATAATCCCAAGTAGCAAAATGAAGTTTGTTAAAATATTATACCCCAGGTAGGAATTTTCGATCAAAAATGACAATATACCTTACCCTTTGTCTGAATTGTCACATAAAAGTAGTATCTGTACTGAGTGAGAATCAGTTATCATATGAAAAAATTCACAATCGAAAGGGAAGCATGACTGTGAATGGACTTCCAGTGGTTTCCAATTAAAATTTGCCTACATAACAAACAATTAATTTAAGTTCATAAATGTTCGTTATACCATAAAATGTCTTAGTTATTCTCTTAATTACAAAACGCTTGGAAACTAAATAGTTCCACTATTTTAGACTTATCTATAACTAAGAAAACAAATGAGAGAGAACTTAGATGAAATAGTTTATACTGTCTAGTTTGATGCCGCATCAAATAAACAACCTAGAATCGTTCTAAGAACATCTAGAAATCAAAATATTTATTTTTATTATAGAAAATAGCTTGATCAACGACCAACTGAAATTCTCTTAGTTTCAGTTCCTAAAATCCTTCAAGCCAATAAATGTAATTAAAGCAGTTAGTAGGGTGGAGAAGATAACGGATATTTATTTCCTTAAAGCATATTTTTGAGAGTATTTTATTTATTAAGCTAGAAAAACTGAAGCCACAAATTTTCCGAAAATAAATTTGTAAGGGTTTTTCTGTAGAAATGCTTTTAGAAACATCATTTTTTAATTCACCCTTTGTTATAATTCTCTCAGCTATTGTTGGACACCAATTCACTCGATAAGTCCCCAAATCAGAATACGGTTGAACAGGAAAGAGAATATATCCCGAATGACAAGGTTACATGGAAGTAAGAACCACAGTAGGAAAAACGTCAGTATATTTATAGTTTTTACATGAGAATGTTCTAGTGTTCTCCAATTATGGACTAGCGCTGATTGGATAAGAATTAACCAACCAGTGTGCGCCAAAGCAATCGTGCATTGAGCATGCTTTAATCCCATCTATGTCCCGCTAACACCCTTATTTTAAGAATGGAACTCATAAGTTGGTAAATTAAAAGTAATCATGTTGCTTCATATATAATTTTGTTTGGATACAACTACACCTTCTGATGAAAATGGCTAACTAGAGTGTGTATAGTGCAGCTTTTTGTTTCAATCACCCAAATAAATTACACACTTAAAAATCTACCGAGGATGTACCTTTGTCTTACAAATAAAACCATATATATATATGATTGATAAGCTAAATGGCTAAATATATGAATCGATCCATTTACGTCAAATGACAAACGTATGTCAAGTTACTTTCAATTTATTTCGAAAATTTATTTTGATAATGTTAACTATAGGGTTTTGTTTATATTTTCTTTAAAGTTTGATAAATTGTGTATACAAGAATGATTCTATAAAGAATATATAGAAACAAATTTCTAAAAAACCTATAATGCTTAGTTTATGTCTACAAAATAGGTTTCAAAGAACAGTTTCATCGAAACTCTCGACGGCTTTCAGTTATTAAATAAAGCATTTTATTTGGAAATAAAACAATCAAACACTCATAACATATACTTTGTGGATATCATAAGTTATGTAATTTGTTTGTAAAAAAGACCATTGAGTTGAATCGATAACTGGAATCTGCTCTGAACTATTACCGAGGTTGCTAAATGCAAGGCGGCAACTTATAAAATTTAGGCTTAAGTAACGAACCATTCTAACACCAACTCATTCCGAACATCAGTGAACGACATTAACCGTCAATTGCAATATATATATAAACAAATAGCTAATTACAAACAGCTATTCAAAGAAATATATATCTATATATATATAACTAAAATTTATTTGCATATAATTATAAAACCAGAGAATTTCACGAGGTAAATTTTGTAACGTTTGCTTCCCACAACAACTAGATACTCATCAGTAATAAGTACTAGGTTAATAATCTCCAATAGTTGATAATACTTGTAACATATTCGACTCTAAACTACTTTCTTAAGTAGTCGAATTTCTCTACACTTGTGAGACAGTTATATGACTGTATACCAGTAAAATAAAAGTAAATCACATGAAATTATACTACGTCGTTAGTAGCATATCGATAAAGTAAAAGACATGAAAAAGTAAAATGAGTATACTTTATCGAGCTGCAAGCAGTAGGGTTAATGAAACCACTGACTAAATATGGTGTACGAATTTTCTACAAATACAAAATAATCAAAGCAAAACAAAGAAAAACAAGATTAAAATCAAAATGATAAACCAATAGAAAAAGACCATAAATTTTGTTCTAGAAATATACGAAATAAAGAAATAGTTATGGTGAGTGCACTGAATATATATATATATATATATATATATATATCCTTTGTATGCAATGATATGGTAGGAAGAGATGTTGTCAAGTCACTGAAATCAAGCTAGTCCACGTGACATAAATGGTACACATAGGCGGTGATAACAAGAGTCTTGAATAAAACAAACTATTTTTGTAGGATGAACTAGGACTGGAAAAAATCATCGTCCACTCCAACACATATATCTGAAAAGAAGCTGGGATCAAATAACGCTAGATTTGTTTGTGTTTCAACACTGTTCAACCACAATTCTATATCTTCATCAATTGTTTGAGTTTGATTGTGAGTGAAATCTACATTGGCTGGCCAATCATGCTGCGTTGTTGTTTCCACAGTGTTCAAATTGCAATACTGTGAATTATCACAGGAAGTGGGTACAGTATTAGTTTGTACAGAATTTTTGATAGATGATGTAGATGAGCATTGTAACATTGGATCGGTTGAACCAGGTAAATCATAAGCAGAATAATTTATTACATTAACACAAGCCCGAGTACCGGAATCTGTTGTTGTATCCATGTTTAATATCTCCATAACTTTGAAGGAAACAAATAAAATGAGGTTTAAACTAAAGTACATAGAATTGTGACTCAAAACAAAAGCAATGTACCTGATAGTATGGGATAGAGGAAGCAATTTATATAAGACAGTAAACATTCTACAGTATGTATGCCTAGACATTTCCATGAAACAAGCTTTCAAAAATCACTATGCACTTTATTCTGTTAATGAAAACCAACTCAGATTCGAGACCATTTACATTTTCTATATTTGACTGAAGGTAATGCTTCTATTCACCTACGTTTACAATCCATTTATCTTGCAAACCAGTTAGCTGAAAAGGGATAGATGTTGATGTATAAAATCGGAAATACAATAAAACCCCATTACACAAATGAGCACAAAAATAAGCTGTTGACGTTAAGCACAAATGGTGTACTCATTACGTATTTCCGATGTTTCGATAGGCAATGAACTTCCATACAGGCAGCAAATTTATCATGTAGAACATTACAGTTACCGCGGGAAAAAAAATAGGATTAAGTAGTGGAAAGTAGAGTTAACAGATTATATGAAGAATATAATAACACAATAATGAAGACGTGGATGTAATTAATGAAATACTTAGCTGGTTTCTTTCGGAACAGTGAATTATTAGTATCATTATATCATACACATTCTACAAACTAACATAATCAGTTTTAGAGTTTTATTACCAGTCGTTTAACAACATAGTTTAGTAGTACCTTCAAGATAAGGAGCAAAAGCAACAAACAGACTACCGTGAAATCTTAGTAAAAAGCCAAGAATTTACAGTGGTTTTAATAGCTCACACAGTAACTGATCTTGCGAAACTCATCTGAGTGAACTACGATTAAAATGTGGGAAAAAAGTAGATTAAAAGTAAACTGGAAACGTCTACCCAACGCCCGGAAGTCAGTCAGCAACAACGTAGAACTTCGTAAGTACGAACATCAGTTCAAGTTGCCATAATAAAATAGCACAGAGATATAATTGTCGATTCAAATCCCATAGTGGTAGAGGTAGTAAAAGTATAAGCAGTAGTCGGAAACATTAGGGTTTGAAGATGATATTCAAGGAGTAAAATCCAGTGAAATAAATTTGGAAAGAGGAAAAAAGGGACATGAAGAATTCAGAAGATTAGAATTTGGGAGAACACAAAGAGTAGGTGCACCTGCGCCATTGCAAACGATTTTGAGCCATGTCATTCAGAGTCTCTAACCATCGGTTGCTATAGTCTCACAGATGCCAACCAGGTAGTCTACACTTACCAACATGACTCAGTCCACTTGTCAGTGACTTCATGGACTTGTGCCACATTTTGGTTTGGCCGCCCCTAGCTTTATTTCAACCTACTCCTATACCACTGAACATAGCACGTCGAGGCAGTCGGTCGTCGGGCATACGTAACACGTGTCCCAGCCATCTCAACTGATGAAGTTTCACTACTTCATCAATTGATTTGCTATCCTTACCTAGTACCCGTTTCCTAACAACTGTGTTACTTACTCGATGGTCCCAGGATATACGAGCAATGTTTCGAAGACACCTATCGTCAAATACTAGTAACCTACGAATATTTTCTACTCTTACCGGTCATGTTTCACTGCCATAAAGTAGGACGGAACGAACGGGTGCACAGTAAACACGTACTTTGGTTGATAGACGGATATCTCGCCTACGCCATAAATGACGCAAGTTGGCAAAAGCTAGTCGAGCCTTCTGTATCCGTGCTGAGATTTCGTCACACACCAGACCACAAGGGTTGATGGGACTTCCAAGATAAGTGGAGCAGTCGACACGCTCGACCACTTCACTCCCTACCATTAGTTCCGGTGTCGATGCAACCCAATCCTGAAGCAAAATTTTGCATTTCGAGGGAGAACCGCATCCCGAACATGCTTGCATTGTTGCTTACGGTGGTCAGAAGACTTTGCATTTTGTCAGCGTCTTCACGAAATAGAACTGTCATCGGCATTTTCTAAGTCAACAAGTGAAACTCCTGGTAGAAGTTCAACTGGAAATTTAGATAGGGAAAGTGTTATCCATAAAAACACGTCAAGGACAATGTCAAATAAGAATGAAGAGAGTAGACAGTCCTGACCAACACCACTTGAGGAAATCAATTCTGAAGACAGTTCGCCCTAAGCTCTCACTCTACTAGTTGTGTTCGAGTAGAGAGCCTTTATAATGTTAATGTACTTCTTTGGTACTCGTTTCAATGACAAACAATGCCATAGAACCTCACGATCAACAGAGTCGAATGCTGCTTTAAGGTCGAGAAATACTATTATTGCTGGACGTCTGAATGTGTGTCAATGTTCTAGGATCTGACGTAGTGTGAATATCTGGTCTATACAACCACGTCCAGGTCGAAAACCAGTCTGGTTTTCTCTAGTCTGCTCTTTACGAGCTTTAGTTAGGCGTCGAAGTATTATTGAAGCTAATATTTTAGACATTATATGAGTCAAATTGATTCCTCTGTGATTGTCACAAGAGGACATTTGGCCTTTTTTATAGACTGGCATAATCAGTGATTGAGACCAGTCAGATGGGACTACGTCCAGTTCCCAAATTCTACCTAAGACCTCAGTCAATCTCACTGCCGATACTGGACCACCATCCTTAAAAAGCGCAGGGGTAAACATGTCGGGGCCTGCTGCTCTCCCTCGTTTCAGAGTGGGAAGACTTACATCAACTTGCCATTTAGGTTGACTGGAGATCGTGGGAAACCGAAGTGTGGCTGAAGACCAGTTGAACTGATCCCTAAACTGTTCTACCCATTGATCCAATCTCCTGGATTTATGGTGAATAATGTGTTCATCTTTTTCCGAGACATTTTCTCTAAAAGTTAGATTCTTAATAAAGGATTCCTTGACAAGTCTGAACAGTTGTCTGTTGTTGCTTATTGCCGTAGCCGTTTCCATCTCTTTTGTTTTCGCTACACACCACTGTTCACGATCATTGCGTAGGCTTCTTATTAGGCCGCGCTTAAGCTGACTCCGCTCTTCATCATGTTCAGAGCCAGATGGGATGAGTTTCCGAGCATCTATCAGTGCGGCAGATGCTGATGAGATCCAGTATTTCTCCCTCACCTTGCGGTTTACCATGCTAGCAGATATTAAAAAATCGGTGCAGGAAATGTAAAGCTGTGGGCCATAAAGATGGATTTCGTCAAAAAAGGAAGCAAAATAGCTCCAGGAGTACCAGATAGCCCGAACCAACATTATTTCGTGGGAGAGGAGAAAGTCGGAAAATTTAAGGTCAGGGTCTAAACTTCAAGTCTTCAAAAAGGGGGTGTTAGGACGGGATGAAAAGTCAAAATTAAATTGATTTACTCATTATGATTTTTATTCAATATCAATTCCGTTTAATTTATTTTAATGATCACTCAGTGTAGTATTTGTTTCGTTTTCCCCCATGACATTTTACTCTTTATAAAATACGATATTCTTGTATGAAATATTTTCCATATATGTGATATATTCTGATTATTAATCAAAAATGGGTGTATAACCAATATATAAATTAGTGTATTTCCGACTAGACGGGATAGGATTACTCGTGCTTTTGGCTACTTGAGGAATATATTTCCCCGTTTCGAACTTGGACTTCTCTCTCTAGTTAGCGGGGCTGGGACGCATCAGAATAACTAGCATATTGGTCTTTGGTCACAGAGTCTTTATTCTGTTCCCAGACTAGGTGAATTCGTAATCGCTCCAAACATAGCATTATGTCAAAAGATGTTTTTCCTTATGCTTAAAGTTAGTGTTTGCAAGAAACAGGTAGTTATCTGAGCATAGCTGCAACAGACGGTCGCCATTATCTGTTCTTTGAGCCATGACACCATAAAATCCACCCAGGTGTCTTTCCTTTTCGCTCAGTTTACCTACTTGAGCATTAAATTAAGAGAGCCTAACTTTTTGGAGGAGGTCGGAAAGCTTCCTGTAAAACTCATCTTTTACTCCATTTGAGCTGCAATCAGTGGGAGAGTAGACAAATACGACGAAGAGGCAACGACGAGTGTCCCTAACTTTCCGAGTCCTTATTGTTCTGTTTAGTCGGACAGCGCACAAAAAACTTTCTGCTGGGATCCAGTCTAAGAGAGCTAGTTCTGCCCTAGGACTCAATGCTATACCTACACCAGCGAGCCTGTTGTCCTATTTGGCACAGTGCTCGAACGCTAAAAGCTCCTACATGTAGTTTAGAGCGTGATTTCAGGAGACCAGGAATAACGTTCCGCGTACCCGAATCGTTTGCATTAGCAGCGTGAGGTGATAAAGGAACGTGAGAAGGATTAGTTGTGGAGATAAGAGAGTTACTAAGAGGTGTAGGAAGGATTTGATTGTGACCAACTTGCTCTCGTGTGCTGATACGGGTATGAGGGCTGATGTCACTTCTTGGTCACCTACACCGTGGAAGGATATTTTATTGAGGAACCTGAAAAGGAAGTTGGATTAGTGTTGGTCTTAACGACCTGGGAGTGTGACCGCAGAGCCCAAGGGACAACTGCTTGAGGCCGGTCACGCACGGCCTTTTTGTGGGAGACTTATAACGTATTAGCTCCGTTTTTCAAAATGCCTTACCGCCGGAGACAGAATTCCGTGAGGTACGATGAGGTGTAACAATTTTAGGGTCGATATTTTCTAACCCATCTTTCCTTATGAGAAGGCAGCATCGTTGCAAAAGCTGGCCGTCTGAGGAAAACACCTTACTCCTGCCATACCCCTCTTCAGTCAGCAGTACGACTTAGGCCCCAGACCTTGAGTTACTGCTTTTAGTCTTAACGTCCTCCAATCGACCTGACTGGCATGGTAAAACCTACAGGACAAATGTTGCAGCCACTAAAGCTTGGTTGGGTCATCACGACAGTCAAGCCCGACCACCACATCAAGGTAGCAGCAACGGTTGGGAACGCCCGGAAGTGGGCGACAAGATTAAGAACCATAAATCCCAAGGATAACAGATAACAGTAAAAAAACATTATTAAGCCTATCAGCGACGTGGCTCAAAAAGTCAAAACTTAGTGACACAATTGGCGATAAAGAGGATCCAATTGTCTACTGTTTGAAGCATTTTCATAAGGTGGAAATATTGAGTGAACAACGCTGATGTTACGCGTACGGGATATGTTAAGTCTGTCGATGGGGTCATGAATTTTCATCGACTGGAGGTCGTGTTAACTATACCCAGCTATATCCTACTTAGATATGCTATCCTGGTTAAAGTAAGAGCTGAAAACAATATGAACACTTACGAGGAGATTGGTTGTCTGAAATTTTCGCTTCGTTCAGCAAACGATGTAAAGTTTGGCATGCAGTACTTAAATGAGTTCCAAGTGAAACAGTACTTTGTAACATAGGAGGAGGTGGTGTTTCAAGCATTCTGCTTGGAGTAAAGTAAGTACTATGATCGGAGTGAGGATAATGAGTAGCAATTTCAGCATTTAAATTTTCCATAACATCGGTCTGCATAGCAGCGTTTTCACGTAGTGGTAGCAACCTTGCTTGAATTTCTTGATCCACACCATTATTTGAGCACCCAGTAAGAGAGATGTAGTTGCTCGACTGAACCGAGTTTTTGGTTGGCTTTAGTGATGAACAAGGGTGGTGTTCGTTGAGGGGACCCAATGTGACCTGTTTGGTCTCGTAAGACAACTTTCGTTCTTGTCTAACTTCGTAGTTATCTGAACATTACAAAAGCATAACAGTGAAAGAGATCTTTAAAGACTATCAAAGCGATAAAATAAGGAAATATTATCTAATCAAACGGCACATTATTACCTCAACAGGGAAAAGAGTTAAACACTTCCAGTCTAAACATAAATACACCGGGGATACTCACTTTTAATGAACAGGTCTTTATAACAACTGCAACCGAGAAGTATGGATAATAAAAAAACACAAAATAGTTTACATTACACATCAAATAAATGGGGTGAGAACGCGAAAATGAACATTTATGAGATTATAACACTGAGATACCATCCATTTTTTAATAAGATATAATTTTAACTTTTATAAAGAACCGTTTGTCATGAATCGGGTATTAATGGATTTGATCAGAACTTACCATATACTGTACTTGAGTGAGGAAGATTGGCTTCTACTGCAGCATTACAGAAGAGACCACCAATGAATGAACTGATGTCATCCTCATCGGTGCATGTGTTCACAGACACAAGTTCGTGTGTCTGGAGTGTATGAGAGCATGGTTGTAATACAGTGATCGGTGTATATAACTGTTCAGTTTGTGTTGAGGCCTCCAAAGAAGAATTGCTTACAGGGACTGCGTAAAGATTGCAGAAATTTCCTAAATCGGGTTTTAAAACCACTGACGTATCGCTCGAATTTATTGCAGATTCAGAGAGATTAACCTTAAAGTGCAGGAATATATAAGAAAATTTAATTTAATAAAGTGGATTAACAATAATAACTGAAACATTTGAACTTTATATCAGTATTTAAAGCTCAAATAACGTTACTCCTAATAAAGCCTCTCTAAACATTTTGATAATTCTAAATCGCTACATGAAAAAAATTGTGGTTTTACTATAATAGGATACTACCATAGATGACTGGAAAAGTATTAAAAGACAGTAAGTTTAATACAACAGCAGTAACTGGGCTCCAACAAGCACCTGAGTAAAGAATAGATCTTTGTAGACAGCCTGGCCTCGATTCAAGAAAGATAAGATAAAGAGACAGCAATCAACAACACTCAAACAAAAGCAGGGGAATTCAAGGCACATGCTGAATATACAGAAGCAAACGAACGATTGGAAAGGGTTGCTAGAGCTGACAAACGGAAATATGCAGAAAACCTAGCAACCATAGCAGAAAAAAACTGCAAGAGAAGAAAGTACGGAATGACTGCATGGTGCAGCAAAGAAGCTTACAGGGAGACATGGTACGCGAGTGGTAAGTTAAGAATAAAGCAGAAAACTCAATGACTGAGGAGTGGGGGCACAAGCGAACAGAGCACGTAGAGAAACTTCAACAGATCAGCACCACTGAATCCACTGGATATCGAAGCAACACACACAGATCACTTTATTGATGATGCCCCACCAACAACAGAAGATATTAGTACATCTATCAGATAAACTAAGTGTGGGAAAGTGGCATGAGCAAACAGGATATCAACTGATGTACCAAAGTTAGATATAGAAATAACTACGAAGATGCTCAACATTCTCTTCAGAAAGATTTGGGAGGGAGAACAAGTACTGACGGACTGGGAGGAAGGATGCCTTATCAAGATACCGAAGAAAGATTTTAGTGAGAGAACTATAGAGGTGTTATACTACTGTCAGTATCAGGGACAGTCTCCAACAGTGTCGTTGAACCGAGTGAGAGACCTAGCAGACGCCCAACTTCGAGACAAATAAACTGGCTTTCGTGATAATCGGACATGTACCGACCAAGTCTCGACACTACGGAACATTATTGAACAATCAATTGAATGGAACTCATTTATAAATCTATACGTCTACTTCCTTGACTATGAGAAATATTTTATACAAGTGAGAATTAGTTAAGAATTCCCTACAATGTGAAACGTTTACATCCCTAGAATTTTGATTGTTTGACAGCAAAAGGGTTCAATAAAAAGCATCAAGTAATTTATATCTTACCTGGACATTTGGATTCGGAAAGATTTGTGTTGAAAGTGTACGAAGAGCCGAAAGAGCACTTGTATATAAAAAGTTCATATTCAAACACCCCAAAACATTGCTATTCAGATTTTCTACATTCACATCACTTACGTTAGGTACAGTAACTGGTAAAATAAGAAGTGGGAGAACTAATGGGCCACATGGTCCACTAGGAGGGATAGGATTACGTGCAACATACGAGCTTGGAATTGATGTATTCTTCGAAGGCGATCTGTTTGGAGTATTTTCGACTTTAGGAATAGAATTAAGAGATAAAGTGTTACTGTGCCCACTTCTTCGGTAATGCTGAAGTAAGTGCTTTTTACTTGAATAAGACCTGAAACAAACTGAACAAGAATACGTTGCTCCACATAGTTTTTGATGATAGGCATGATATGAGGGAGTAGGGAAGAAATGTTTACATTTGCTACACTGGTAACTTTTCTGCATATGAACATGCTGGTAATGCTATAATATAAGAACATATTAATCAATAATCTCAGCATACCTGTTTTAATCTCCAGTAAGTGCTGAATCCACCGCCTAAACCAATATTGTGTTTACATGTAGCCACAGGGCAATGATAGATATAACTAACATTATACCTTTGCTTGGAATAAAATGCTACGTCTTTTGCATTCTGAAATAGCAATACACATTAGAAGATGCAGACTAATATTATACCTTCATGATCTTATGAGTTTTAATCTGATGAGCCCGTAAGTTAGCTTTTGTTTTCACTTTGATTCCGCATAACTCGCAAACATAAGTTGGTAATGGTAATTCTGTTAGTTCTGATTCTGAAATAACTACATGCAAAACGCTCGATTCTCTAATAGGAAAATTGTTGACTTTTTGGTCGTTGTCCTTAGATTCCGAAGGGAAAGAACGATAAACCTCACATGTCCCCATAATCTAGCAGAATAATGGAACAGCAATGACCACAAGTTAGGAGTCATAGATTGACTTACCATAGTTTATCTCAAGTGATCACTTAATTTTTTTAAGTACCGTGAACAAAATTACGAGCTTTCTCAAGCCAGAGAATATAAGTAGACAAAATTTTACAAATGTCAGTCAACAGTTATTCACAAAATGTTCTTATACCTTCTTAATCAAATTCTTGCTATTTTTGACTTGGAGCCCCTTAAAATTTTTCAATACTAGTAGAATAAAGGTCTATGCAACACAATCAGATAATAGGCGATCAAATGCTGGGCAGAAGGAGTGGGTAAACTATTTATTCCCCTTCCTGTATGCAAAGATTCTTACGAATGTACATCCATCTCTTCAAAGCAGAAAATAAAGGAATACTGAAGATCAAACTCGGAATGATATAATGAAATAAATATCAACTAAGTAAGTTGGCTTGCCGTGCTTTGAGTGGTAGCTATGCGAGAGCTACGGGCAAACCATACACCAGGAGCTGATGGGAAGAGTTGCCATCATATGTTGCTGCATTTCGTATTATCACGAAAGCCGTAAGTGTTTACAGACAACTATTCAACAAGACGCTCACGACCCAGTGGTAAGAGACCATCAGTAATAATCTGCTTTAGCAGGAAAAACTTAGCTTCTAGTTGAGGGGGGAAATTAGGGAAAAACTCTGGAGGTGGTAAGATTAAGGACATTAAAAAACTGCATCACAAAACAAGACTCGACATGGAATCCTCAAGACAGGAGAAAGCGATGAAGACCAAAAAACATGTGAAACTGAGAACCAAAGACAAATATCCAGACCATGAATAGCACTTGGCAACAACTCTGAAAGTTCAGCATATAGTTAGTTAGGGATCTCTGGTTGATGGCCTAAGCCATCCGAAGATTGAATAGTCGAGGCGACCTCTAGTTAACTTGTGAGTGAAGCATACCTCCGGTTCTGCTGGATTCAGATAGGTATTCCACAGCATTATACGTAATAACTCCAAACTTAATATATCTTCAGTACGCTAACTGAAAACCGAACTAAAACTTAACTGCACACAGTACGACGAAAAGGGAGGTATCGCACTAGCTTCCTACGACGGACGAAAAAGGAGACTTCGTAGTCACTTTATTAAACCCTTCCTGTCTTAAGGAATGTCCACTTTATTTTTCTCGTGTTAGCCCTTATCACCTCTTTTGAGTTCCCTTGAGCAATTCACGGAACTTACAATCCTAGGGCCTTAAGATCGACCCGAATGACAAGAAAACAAGGAACAAACCTAGTTGAATCGGACAATCAAAAGCCTTCTTCATTCATATTAAACCGGAAATTTATAAATGTAAGCACTGCTTCACAATTCACATTAATTCTCCACAAAATGTACACAGACTTGAGATAATCATCAAAAATAACGCGGCATAATTATAATTCTAGTCTATTTCTCCTAGCACACCATTAACTAAGTAGAATATAATTCGGTACAGAAGTAACGTACTGCGAGCGACCAGGATGGTTTTGAACTGACCGCCTGTAAACAAACAGCATCCAATTCCAGTGATATTCTTGGCAGGGTAGTATATACACTATTTGTTTGATCTAATTGAGAATGTTTTTAAACCTTTGATCTATGCACCTCTAGATGACTTGAAGTATATTTGCCTAAGCTCTTGTAAAACTGTTCCCTACTTTGCATGATGAGCTATATTGAACGAAGAACATGTTCATTTTCTGAGTGAATATCGAACAACAAATGATAGGCTAGAAGATTACGGCAGCTTGTTATGTAGCGGCAAGTCAATCCCAAAAATCAATAGCTCTGTGAGTCCGCATTAGTTTTACTAGACTCAACTAGCTAAAGACGGTCGACCATTCAACAGCACAAGAACATGAGTAAGTGAACCGTGTTACGCAACCTTTTGAACTACTGGCAAGTTAGACCGAATGTTCCTTGACATGTTTATTAATTCTAAATATATTTTGAGACACCTTCATTACTGACCTCTGACTTGAACGGGTTGGTACATAGAAAAATAAGGATGTCAGTGGTAATGGAGTAGTCGAACTCCGAATACTTGCGGCATAAAGATGGATTTCGTCAAAAAAGGGAGCCAAATAGCTCCAGGAGTACCAGATAATAAATTCTGATGACAGTTCGCCCTAAGCTCTCACTCTACTAGTTGTGTTCGAGTAGAGAGCCTTTATAATGTTAATGTACTTCTTTGGTACTCGTTTCAATGACAAACAATGCCATAGAACCTCACGATCAACAGAGTCGAATGCTGCTTTAAGGTCGAGAAATACTATTATTGCTGGACGTCTGAATGTGTGTCAATGTTCTAGGATCTGACGTAGTGTGAATATCTGGTCTATACAACCACGTCCAGGTCGAAAACCAGTCTGGTTTTCTCTAGTCTGCTCTTTACGAGCTTTAGTTAGGCGTCGAAGTATTATTGAAGCTAATATTTTAGACATTATATGAGTCAAATTGATTCCTCTGTGATTGTCACAAGAGGACATTTGGCCTTTTTTATAGACTGGCATAATCAGTGATTGAGACCAGTCAGATGGGACTACGTCCAGTTCCCAAATTCTACCTAAGACCTCAGTCAATCTCACTGCCGATACTGGACCACCATCCTTAAAAAGCGCAGGGGTAAACATGTCGGGGCCTGCTGCTCTCCCTCGTTTCAGAGTGGGAAGACTTACATCAACTTGCCATTTAGGTTGACTGGAGATCGTGGGAAACCGAAGTGTGGCTGAAGACCAGTTGAACTGATCCCTAAACTGTTCTACCCATTGATCCAATCTCCTGGATTTATGGTGAATAATGTGTTCATCTTTTTCCGAGACATTTTCTCTAAAAGTTAGATTCTTAATAAAGGATTCCTTGACAAGTCTGAACAGTTGTCTGTTGTTGCTTATTGCCGTAGCCGTTTCCATCTCTTTTGTTTTCGCTACACACCACTGTTCACGATCATTGCGTAGGCTTCTTATTAGGCCGCGCTTAAGCTGACTCCGCTCTTCATCATGTTCAGAGCCAGATGGGATGAGTTTCCGAGCATCTATCAGTGCGGCAGATGCTGATGAGATCCAGTATTTCTCCCTCACCTTGCGGTTTACCATGCTAGCAGATATTAAAAAATCGGTGCAGGAAATGTAAAGCTGTGGGCCATAAAGATGGATTTCGTCAAAAAAGGAAGCAAAATAGCTCCAGGAGTACCAGATAGCCCGAACCAACATTATTTCGTGGGAGAGGAGAAAGTCGGAAAATTTAAGGTCAGGGTCTAAACTTCAAGTCTTCAAAAAGGGGGTGTTAGGACGGGATGAAAAGTCAAAATTAAATTGATTTACTCATTATGATTTTTATTCAATATCAATTCCGTTTAATTTATTTTAATGATCACTCAGTGTAGTATTTGTTTCGTTTTCCCCCATGACATTTTACTCTTTATAAAATACGATATTCTTGTATGAAATATTTTCCATATATGTGATATATTCTGATTATTAATCAAAAATGGGTGTATAACCAATATATAAATTAGTGTATTTCCGACTAGACGGGATAGGATTACTCGTGCTTTTGGCTACTTGAGGAATATATTTCCCCGTTTCGAACTTGGACTTCTCTCTCTAGTTAGCGGGGCTGGGACGCATCAGAATAACTAGCATATTGGTCTTTGGTCACAGAGTCTTTATTCTGTTCCCAGACTAGGTGAATTCGTAATCGCTCCAAACATAGCATTATGTCAAAAGATGTTTTTCCTTATGCTTAAAGTTAGTGTTTGCAAGAAACAGGTAGTTATCTGAGCATAGCTGCAACAGACGGTCGCCATTATCTGTTCTTTGAGCCATGACACCATAAAATCCACCCAGGTGTCTTTCCTTTTCGCTCAGTTTACCTACTTGAGCATTAAATTAAGAGAGCCTAACTTTTTGGAGGAGGTCGGAAAGCTTCCTGTAAAACTCATCTTTTACTCCATTTGAGCTGCAATCAGTGGGAGAGTAGACAAATACGACGAAGAGGCAACGACGAGTGTCCCTAACTTTCCGAGTCCTTATTGTTCTGTTTAGTCGGACAGCGCACAAAAAACTTTCTGCTGGGATCCAGTCTAAGAGAGCTAGTTCTGCCCTAGGACTCAATGCTATACCTACACCAGCGAGCCTGTTGTCCTATTTGGCACAGTGCTCGAACGCTAAAAGCTCCTACATGTAGTTTAGAGCGTGATTTCAGGAGACCAGGAATAACGTTCCGCGTACCCGAATCGTTTGCATTAGCAGCGTGAGGTGATAAAGGAACGTGAGAAGGATTAGTTGTGGAGATAAGAGAGTTACTAAGAGGTGTAGGAAGGATTTGATTGTGACCAACTTGCTCTCGTGTGCTGATACGGGTATGAGGGCTGATGTCACTTCTTGGTCACCTACACCGTGGAAGGATATTTTATTGAGGAACCTGAAAAGGAAGTTGGATTAGTGTTGGTCTTAACGACCTGGGAGTGTGACCGCAGAGCCCAAGGGACAACTGCTTGAGGCCGGTCACGGCCAGCCATGACAACTGGACAGATATACATTCGCACAATTCTATTTTCCGCGTTTTTTCTATTAATTTTGTGATTGTTTCTTGAGTCGTAATTTCGAACAGTGTTGTCAAACACTTCGTTTCCTTCTTTGTTTAAAAAAAAATTCACTTTATTCTCTTTATCAAACATAATGTATTAAAGTTAGTTTAACACTGTACAGATTCAATGTTCATAGACAAGTTCAGAATAAGAAATATATGACTAGGATATCAAGACTCATTAAATACTGGTGACAGTCATCTTTGTTACAGACATATCATATATTTAGTAAGGTTAGCATGTTTCTTAAGGGACCTTGAGAAGTGAGGTAGCCTCTACGTCACTCTTGGCTTGGTAAAGTTAGGTGATCTCCAATGACGTGACTTAGATGTAAGACTACGACAGTATGTCACTTACATTATTTTAGACAACCACACCAGGACTCCACGTAGGAATCTAACAGGTCTTTACCTCATTCGATCAGCCTAGTCTGTTGTTCGTATATAATTTGAAAATTATAGGGTTTGGGTGGCTGCGTCACAGAGGATACTGCATCTTTTTCTTCCAGTAGTCGAGTCATGTTTGTTTAATTAAAAATATACTGGGTACCATGATATGACGGAGTTGGAACTCAAAACCTAATAAAATACACGTATTATTCGTGTAGGGTAACGACTGTTTTGAATATATTGTAGCGGTAAATAAATCCCTAAAATAAATAGCTCTGTAAGTTTTCGACATTGGATGCTGACCATATGTTTTAGTGGACTCATCTAGCTGAAGGCGCTCGGTCAGGCATCCGCACCAGATCACGTGTGGTAACGCCGTGCTCAACATCAATCGCAATAGCTAGCCAGATTAGATCAGAGAATTCCGATATATTGGTTATCGCCAAATATACTCTTCCGATCTCCTCGACTCTGTCTTTTGATTTCTCTGGGTGGGAACGAAATACATTAGGTGTTACTGGTAGAAGCGTTGTCAAACACTGAATACCTGTGACATCATCAATATGTTTAAATCCAAAGCATTGCATACATGGGTGATCAATTCTTCTCTGTCTTAACTCTGAACCCACAGATGATTATTGAAGTATGTACAGATTGAATCTGCGAGCTATCTGTAATACCACTACATATAATAATACTACTATTACTATCACCACTGTCATAACTACTTCTTTGAATAATCTGACTGCTCATCACTGCAAGTTTGATATTTAACATATAGAGCTTCTTCAGAATCACCTAATGACCTGACAAAACTCGGAACTTAATTTTTAAACAGTTGTGCTTTAAATATTTTGCATCATCAATTTTGAGATTAATTGAGGGTCAAGACAAGAAAACACGATGACGAATAATGTATAACCAAACAACACATCGGTTTTAACACGTTTCAGATAATCCGGAAATGCCCAAAAACAACTGAATGACTTACAGTGTTGGAAGATAAAGTCAGATAATAATCGGAGCATAGTATTACAACTGATATAGGTTAACTATGAAAACCCCACCCCTTACTGTTATTCACAAATTCTTGTCACGTTTTAATTTTTACGTTATGAACCTGAAGCTTTTTCATTCCTCAATAATTCGATTATACACCTTACACTAGACGCAACCATAGCTCTCCGTCTCATCAACCTCTTTCTATAACTATAACACAGATCCTAAAAATCTGAGTTCAACAAATATTAAAACCCGTTCCTAGGCGGCAAGTTCGAATGTCAAGGACGCTTGTGCCCTACCCTGGTCACTAACTTCAACATGAAAGCGTGGAAGCTACGTAAGTCGCACTCATTGTTAGTTGTGGGGATGGCGTAATATTCAAATCAAGTCATCTCCAATGTTTATTGGATCCGACCAATGATCCCCCTGTTTTGACTCGATAATAATGACCACAATCCATCATAAACTGCCTTGTAATAATTGTATATTGTTCGGATCAAGATTCTAAATAGTACGCTATCGAAAAGAAGACT